AAAAAAAAAAAAAAAAAAAAAGTTCAACCAAGGATACAAGCTGGAATAGCCATAATTCGAGCTATCACTATCTTTATAATAACAGATAAGCCATAGATATAATTATTTGTTCAGAACAAAGATAATCATATTTAATGCCAGTAGTAGCCAAGGAATTAATCTCTCCACCCGGCTTACACTGTTTCTGTATGTAAAGCAACACACTGTTGACTCAAAACCCCAAGTCTTTTCATAAATCCCTTTCCCACCCTACTTCAAACACCTTTTTTTTTTGCAGTCGTGCCATCTCCACCTCCCAGGTTCAAGCAATTCTCCTGTCTCAGCCTCCCAAGTAGCTGGATTACAGGCACATGTTCAGCTAACTTTTGTAATTTTTTTGTTTCGTTTTGTTTTTGAGACGGAGTTTCACTCTTGTTACCCAGGCTGCAGTGCAATGCCGCGATCTCGGCTCACTGCAGCCTCCGCCTCCTGGGTTCAGGCAATTCTTCTGCCTCAGCCTCCTGAGTAGCTGGGACTACAGGCACGCGCCACTATGCCCAGCTAATTTTTTGTATTTTTAGTAGAGATGAGGTTTCACCATGTTGACCAGGATGGTCTCGATCTCTTGACCTCGTGATCCACCCGCCTCAGCCTCCCAAAGTGCTGGCATTACAGGCGTGAGCCACCGCGCCCAGCCTAACTTTTGTAATTTTAGTAGAGACGGAGTTTCACCATATTGGCCAGGCTGATCTCAAACTCCTGACCCACCTGCCTCGGCCTCCCAAAGTGCTGGGATTACAGATGTGAGGCACTACACCCAGCCTCTTCAACCACCATTTAACTTCATTAACTGGGAGACCCTGAGCTCCATTTCTAGAAATGGAGTTATTAACCCAAGGTACTGTGTATTATTAACCCAAGGTACTCACCAAATAGAAGTCAAATGGGATATGTGGTACAAAGGGCCTGAACCTAAAACATGAAAAACAGCTAAATTATTCCCTATGTAGGAATCAAGTGAGATGTATATAACACACCAGCAATTTTGAAAACATGTCAGTCCTCAGAATGAGTGACAAAGTCTCTGGGGAAGGGAGAATCATTCTTAGCATAGTGGGGCCAAATTCATTTAGTAGGGGTGCAGGTAAAGACCACAGTTGGCTCTCACAAAACCAAGTGACATTAGTCTTACCCAAAACTCCTATTTAGATGACAAGCAGAAGCTAACAACCAAGTCCAGAGATGCTAAAAACCGGCACTCACCCTCCTCCTGGGCCTCCTCTGGAACCAAAGCGCCCACCACGACCACGGCCTCTGTCACCCCTAGAAACGCAGATTTTATTTTGACCTCATTGAAGGAATATCCACCGGCCTTATCATTTTAAGTTGGCTACTACTTTCATCCCTCGGAACCTCCGAACGGTAGGCAAGAGACCTCGTGCCCACTTACACTTTTCCCCATTTCAGATACTGCCCAGTTATACACCCCCATAAGCCTCCTCATTCTGGATAAGTTAATCACAACCCTGCATCAAGTAATCATGGGGCTCAGACACTCGGCCCCTACACGAAATAACCCATAATCCTGGGCCACACGAATCCTAATACTTCGGAGGCTAAAAGTTGCACATTTCTTCATTAACGTACACATTTATGGGGTACGTCCTATATGTCAAGCCCTTCGCACTGAGGATGAAAGCGGCTCGTTCCAGCCTTCTCACCCCAGATGAGGGGCCGGGCGGAGCTCCTCCGCGGGCTTGAGGACACTCCTTCATCGCAACCCTTCAGAGACAAAGGTGCCGAACCCGCCTCCCCACTCGTGGGCTCCAACCCCATCCCGGGCCCAAGTTTCCCCGCCTCTGCCGGCCTCCCACTCCCCTACTCTCCCAGACCGGGAGTTCTCAGGTTTTTGGCCAGCCCCCAGATACATGGCGCTTTTAGGTCCTCCGACTTCTTTCGGCCCACGTTCCCAAAGTTTTTCGCCGAATACCTGAAATCTTTCGACCACTTCGACCACCTTACCTCATGGCTGCTAAAAACCCGAACAATGGAGGCCGCACCAACCGCCCCTTTGCTCTGAGGAGCAGAAAACTGAAGAGGCGTCTTGCCGGCGTGTCCCAATAAAACCCAGCGCGATTGGCTCCCGCCTTACCCCATCGCTTATGCCTATTGGCTTACTCTGTCAACCCGGGCTTATGAACCAATTAAAAAAGCCTACTGTGTCAGGAACTGGCCAATAAGAACCGGCTCTATAGTAACGGCGAGTTTTTGGTCAGACATTAGGTGGCACTAAAGAAGTAGGGACAACAGTTACCTAGTCTTCTGTAATAGTCTTGAGACGTTTGGTTGTAGATAGCAGAGTGGCGCAGCGGAAGCGTGCTGGGCCCATAACCCAGAGGTCGATGGATCGAAACCATCCTCTGCTATCGGGATTTTTTTCATTTCCCTGGCCTGTACGGCACACGTAATTTACGTTTCTTCGGTGAATGAAAAAATCAAAATATCTTCTCAAACTTTCCTACCTCAAAAATGCAACCGATGGCAGCCGGTTTTCCCACTAGCAGTTGAAGTTGATGGGGAAAAGGGAGTTTGGGCAACAATGAATACTGCATGTCTACAAACTCGAGACAGAAGAAACAGGTTTCAGATAGGAGAGGGGTGTATTGATTGAATTAGTGCGGAAAACATGATTGGTGAGAGAATACAGGGGAAATTGAAACAGCCCTTGGGGAGAGGACACAGAAAAAGGAATGAGGGCCTAGACGCTGGGCGCGATGGCTCACACCTGTAATCCTAGCTCTTTGGGAGGCTCAGGCAGGTGGATCACCTGAGGTCAGGAGCTGGAGACCAGCCTGGCCAACATGATAAAACCCCATCTCTACTAAAAATACAAAAAAAAAAAAATTAGCTAGGCGTGATGGCGCGTGCCTGTAATCCCAGCTACTCGGGAGGTTGAGGCAGGAGAATCGCTTGAACCCAGGAGGGTGAGGTTGCAGTCAGCCGAGATCGCGCCATTGCACTCCAGTATGGGCAACAAGAGCGAAACAACGTCTAAAAAAAAAAAAAAAAAAAAGTAAAGAAAAGTGGGGCAAAGGAAGGGGCAAGAAGAGTAGAATCCAACTCATCCCCGTTGCGCAGTTTCCCTCCAGTTCTCTTCCCTCCCCCTACAAATCTGGATAATGGACCGGGCAAGGTGGTTCACGCCTGTAATCCCAGAACTTTGGGAGCCCAAGGCGGGCGGATCACGAGTTTAGGAGATCAAGGCCATCCTGGCTAACATGATGAAACTCTGTCTCTACTAAAAATACAAAAAAAATTAGCCTTCATCGTGGCGCGCGCCTGTAACCCTAGCTACTCAGGAGGCTGAGGCAGGAGAGTCGCTTGAACCCTGGAGGCGGAGGTTGCAGTGAGCCAAGATCGCTCCACTGCATTCCAGTCTGGGCTACAGAGCAAGACTCCCTCTCAAAAAAAATAAAATTCTGGATGTTTTCATCCCTACACCTTGCACCTTCACCACGTATACAGATACACTATAGTACTTGCATTTATTTTTATTTTATTTTATGTATTTATTTTTGAGATGGAGTTTCGCTCCTGTTGCCCAGGCTGGAGTGCAGAGGCACAATCTCGGCTCACCACAACCTCTGCCTTTCGGATTAAAGCGATTCTCCTGCCTCAGCCTCCCGAGTAGCTGGGATTACAGGTTTGCGCCAAGTATTAGCATTTAAATCAATCTATATTCTTGTGCTTTTCGTCCTTCCTGTAATCCCTTTCTTCCCTCTTCTTGCCTCCCTTTGCATTATTATTCCTCCTCTCCCCACCCCCACCGTTAATTGGAAGTTAGAAACTCTTTCCACACTTTCAGTAGTTGCCCTAAAAATTACAACATTCATCCTTGACTTCATCTAATTTTTACCCTCCTGGTGAAAAATGCCGGAATAATTTAACTCCATTTACTACCATTACTCCCTCCAGAATTATACTCTATTGTTGTGTAATTCTTTTAAATACTTTAAAAAAAAATGTTAACAATCGTTTTTTATTATTATTAATTTTTTTATTGCCATGGGTTTTTGAGGAACAGGTGGTATGTGGTTACATATTGTTTTTTTTTTTTGAGACAGTTTCACTCTCCTTGCCCAGGTTGGAGTGAAATGGCACGATTTCAGCTCACTGCAACCTCCGCCCCCCAGGTTCAAGCAATTCTCCTGCCTCAGTCTCTCAAGTAGCTGGGATTACAGGCACCTGCCAACATGCCCAGCTAATTTTTGTATTTTTAGTAGAGACAGGGTTTCACCATGTTGGCCAGGCTGGTCTTGAACTTCTTACCTCAAGTGATCCACCTGCCTCAGCCTCCCAAAGTGCTTGGATTACAGGCGTGAGCCACCGCACCTGGCTTGATTACATAAATTCTTTTTTTTTTTTTTTAGTAGAGATGGGGTTTCACCATGTTGACCAGGCTGGTCTCAAACTCCTGACCTCAAGTGATCCAACAGCCTTGGCTTCCCAAAGTGCTGGGATTACAGGCGTGAGCCACCATGCCCAGCCGGTTACATAAATTCTTTAGTGGTAATTTGTGAGATTTTGATGCATTCATCACCCAAGCAGTATATACTGAAATCAATTTGTAGACTTTAATCCTTCACCCACTTCCCTTCCTTAAGTACTTTTTTCATACATAATTTACTACAGCCAAAAGTAAACATCTTAAATCTAAACATATTCCGTCCAAGCAACCACCATCCAGATTAAAATAAAGATTATTAAACTGGGCACGATGGCTCATGCCTGTAATCTCAGCACTTTGGGAGGCCAAGGCAGGCAGATTACGATTGTCAGAAGTTCAAGAACAGCCTGCCCAACATGGTCTCGAACTTCTGACATAACGAAACCCCATATCTACTAAAAAAATACCAAAAATTGGCCAGGCATAGTGGCTCACGCCTATAATCCAAGCATTTTGGAGGCCAAGGCGGGCAGATCACCTGAGGTTGGGAGTTCAAGACCAGCCTGACCAACATAGTGAAGCCGTCTTTTTTATATATATATATACAGTATATTATTTTTCTTTAAAATTAGAATAAAAAATACAAAAAATTAGCTGGGCGTGGTGGTGGGTGCCTGTAATACCAGCTACTCTGGTGGCTGAGGCAGGAGAATCACTTGAACCTGTGAGGCTGAGGTTGCAGTGAGCCTAGATCATGTGCCATTTCACTCCAGCCTAGGTGACAAGAGTGTAACTCTGTCTCAAAAAAATAAAATAAATAAAATAAAGATTATTAATTTTAAAAATAAAACGGGCTGGGTATGCTGGCTCACGCCTGTAATCCCAGAACTTTGGGAGACGGGTGGATCACCTGAGGTCAGGAGTTTCAGACCACCCTGGTCAACACGGTGAAACCTCATCTCTACTAAACAAATACAAAAATTAACTGGGCGTGGTGGTGTGTGCCTGTAGTCCCAGCTACTCGGGAGGCTGAGGCAGGAGATTCGCTTGAACCCAGGAGGCAGAGGTTACAGTGGGCCCAGATTGCACCACTGCACTCCAGCCTGGCCAACAGAACAAGACTCTGTCTCAAAAAAAAAAAAAAAAAAAAGAGCCTCCCTCTATTGCCCAGGCTGGAGTGCAGTGGTGCAATCTGGGCTCACTGCAACCTCTGCCTCCTGGGTTCAAGCAATTCTCTTACCTCAGCCTCCCGAGTAGCTGGGACTACAGGCACCCACCACCTCGCCCGGTTAATTTTTATATTTTTGATAGCGACAGGGTTTCACCATGTTGGCCAGGCAGGTGTAAGGTCCAGCCCTACAGGATCTTTTGAGCCCCTCTCTGCTAGTGTGGAGATGAGAAACTGTAGAAATAAAAGATACAGCCGGGCGCGGTGGCTCACGCCTATAATCCCAGCACTTTGGGAGGCCGAGGCGGGTGGATCACGAGGTCAACAGATCGAGACCATCCTGGTCAACACGGTGAAACCCCGTCTCTACTAAAACTACAAAAAATTAGCTGGGCATGGTGGCGCGTGCCTGTAATCCCAGCTACTCAGGAGGCTGAGGCAGGAG